GCGGCGGTGCGATTTGATCGCGATTAAGCGCGAGGCAATGTCGACAAATATTTGTCAAAGACACGGCCGGCTGGCACTCGAGTGCATTAAACGGTGACGTCTAAGGACTCGGCGCTTTATTCCGGCGCACAATAATTGCCCGCCGCGTCGTCGCAGCCCGTTATTATCGCGTGCAGCCCGTGAACCCGCCGTGCGGGACCGCCTGATAACGGAGTGCAGTCCGCGCGAGCTTATCGCGGGCCGGGATTAACCGCGGGTCTTATAAGCCGTTTTCTCGCGATAATGCCGCGTTATTGCATACGCGGGCGCGCGAGGCGCGTGAATTACGCGCTCCAGATACGGGATTCGACCGCGCAATTCAGCCATGAACACGCTGATGTTGGACGCGAATTATGTTTTGCGGAATCGGGAGGAATGCGCCGAGGGTACGGCGCGGGATATAATTAAGCGCTTGATAACCGGCGCCGATTACCGGCCTTATTTTTAGACGATGTACAAGCGGAAAGCCTAAGGCGTATAAAAGTATGCGAAACTTGATAAAGATCTACCGACGCCGGATCGAGAAGTGACAATCACAAAAATCGAAAGTGATAAATGTCTCGTGAAATATGTTAATCGCAATTAAAAATATATGTTCTATATCAATATTATCAACAAATATTATATAAAGACTTTTAACTATAAAAATCATAATTCACGGATAAATTTCATAACGCCGGTATTTAAAAACCAAAGATATCTAATTTTAACTGTCTACACTGGCCAATGTTTTGATTTAAAAAAAAAACCACGTTACAACGTTTCGGCCCCGGATTTGGACCCTTCTCAAGTAATCTGAAATCATATATAACTCTGCACGAACATTGCTTAATAAAATAATTACAAGGAAAACAAACCACAAAAATTGCATACCTGTTAGAAAATTACAAAAGATCACATACCTATTAATTGTTTGGCCAATACCATTATGATAGTAAGTTGTGTACAAGCAAGAGAGTGATTACATTATACATGATTAAAAATAATAATGATAATTATAATGCAATATAATATAATTAATCGTCGTAATTTCGATGTGATAAAAATTATAATTATTTATACAATTAATGACCAGAAAGTTATTTTTTATCATTATTATGATAATTGAGAAACTTAGGACTATATTGTAACCAGTTTTTTAGATTTTTTATTACAGTCGTTTCGACAAATGTGAAGTTGGTACCAGCGTGTAAGACACTTCGTTTTTAATTAATTAGCCGTATCTGGGATTAATTACATAGTGTTATTATACATTTCTGGAAACTAGAAGTTGCACGGAACACGGTGATATCAAATATGCATTTATTAATGCGTTAATGAAATTGTTTTTTTCGAGACTCTATTTTGACTCACTGCAATGCTCTAGCTACCTTAAGGTGATGCTGG